GGTGGTGATCTGCACTCCCAACATTGCCATGACTTTAGGCATATGATCTAGTTCAGGTTGGAGATACCAAAATTTTGGTGTTTTGTGAGAAGTTTTCATGAAAGGAATATGAAGGAAATCATGGGACAACAAAACTTTATAAGGTGAACAGAAAAAAAGTCTTGTTGGATAGTTCTGGTTTTTTGGGGTTTTTTTCAATACTAGGTATTATTGCATTGTATCCAGGGCCTTTGCATTGAGCTGTATCCCCAGCTTGCCTACCTGCCTGCCTTCTTTTTCTCCTTCCCTCCCTCCTCCCTCCTCCCTCCCTCCCCTCTTTCCTTCCTCCCTCCTTCCTTCCTTTCTTCCCTCAGGGTCTCACTAAGTTGCTAAATTGCCCAGGCTGGGCTCAAACTTTCCATTCTCCTGCCTCAGCCTCCCAGAATGCTGGGATTCCAGGCATGAACCACTGCACCCAGGGCCTTTCTTAGCCTTTTGAGTGGTGACATCCATGGAAGGTCAGAGCAAGGGAGAGTGAAAGGGGGCTCACTTTTATGGAGTGTCTTAGTGAGCTGAGCACTATTTGCTGTTTCTCTTCCTTTCCCTGCTGAATTAACTGCAACAGCACCCCAGCTCTGTTCTCTTTTTGTTGCCCTTCCTCTCATTACTCATCCCTTCCCGCTCAGACCCTGATCCTCCTTCCACGTTCATTCGGAACACATCTTTGTGTCTGATTAAGCCGAGGCAGGAAATCCATAGGCTGTGGAGCTGGCGCTGTCTGGATTTGAACATGAGCCTGTCAGAGCCCTTTCCAGAAACATCATCATCATTATTATTATTATTATTATTTTTATTTTTCTTATTTTTTTTTTTTTGGTACCAGGGATTAAATTCAGGACCTTGTGCTTTCGAGGCAGGCTCGGTGCCACTGAGCTAAAACCCCGGACCCAGAAGCATTATTTTTAAGATGGCAATTATTCCTTATTAGTGTATGCTTTGCAATATATAATAATAGTTATATTCATTACAGGGAATCAGTACATGTATATAGGATTTCTAGATCACTTCCCCTCCTTCTGTTCCCTCTCCCTTCTCCATCTCCTTCCAAATCTCCAACAATTCTGCCTTATTTATGTTTTCGGTTTCTCATACAGGAGAAACCATAAGATACTTAACTTTCTGTGTCTGACTTGCTTCACCTAACTTGAGGGTTTCAAGTTTCATCCATTTTCTTGCAAATGACAGGATTTCATTCTTCATTTTAGGGTAGAGTTTGGAGATTGGAACTGGATTCAGATAAGCTGAGAATTTGAAGTGAAGGTGAAGGAATTAACAGTATAGACCACTTTTTTTTTTTTTTTTTGAGAAGTTTGGTTCTGAAAAGGAGATAGGAGCTGGGAAGGGAAAGAGCTTCTGAGGAGAGTTAATTCAGGACTGGGACATGAATACAGGCCAGTGAGGACAGAGGGGTTGCAGGGACAGGAGAGGGTGTAACCTCCATGTCCTCCAGGGCTGCAGTGATGGCCAGAGGAGAGCTACTCTGAACAATTTTAGTGTGCCAAGATGTGCCTTATTCATGTTGAGGAAAGTCAGTCTTGCCCAAGGACCCATTGCTTCTGAAGGTCGGTCTGTGATGAATCCCAGGTCTGTCCAACTAGAAAGGTTGCTGCTTTGCTGCGTAACGTACCTGCATGGGAACGTTTTTATAGAAGTATGTTCTCAATACATTTCAGGAACCTGGAGAAATCCAGTGAGTCATTGCTGTGTAATGCGAATTTCCTCCTAGAATTGCTCATACACCCCTATACCACACCAGCTTCTTTTAAAGAATTTTATTTTATTGGTACATTTTAGGTATACAATATAATGACATTCATCATTGGAAATTTGCTCCTTTACGTAATCTCTCTTGGTTCTTATTTTTCCCCCTTCCCCTGCCCTCCCTTCAACCCTTCCATCCCTCTCTATTTACAAAGACTTTGTTTCCACTTTTTCATTTTCTCATATTAATTCCATTCCCTTCTTTCCTTTCCCCTACCCCTCCCACTTCCCCCTCCCCTTTGCCCCTTTTCTTCCTATTTCACATTATCTATTATACCTTTTAGTCCTTATTTACACTTTCAGTTTCTCACACTAGAGAAACTATTCAGTATTTACACGTGTGTCCTATTTATTTCACTTAACAGTATCGCCTCAATGTGCATCCATTTATGGCTGAGTAGTACTCCATTTTATTAAAAAACCACATTTTCTTTATCCAGTCTCCAGTTGATGGGCATTTGGGCTGTTTCCAAGCTTTAGCTATTACAAACTGTGCTGCTATGAACATGGGCGCACATCTATCACTGTGGTATGATTCTTTTAATTCTTTGGGGAAGATCCCCAGCAGTGGAATAGCGGGGTCAAATGGGGCTTCCAGTCCTAGTTCTTTGAGGTATCTCCATACTGATTTCCACAGTGATTGCACCAGTCTACACTCCCACCAGCAGTGGAGCAGGGTTTCTTTTTCCCCACAGCCCCGCCAGCATTTGGTTGACTTCTTGATAGCAGCCACTCTTTCTGGGGTGAGGTGGAATCTCAGCCTTGTTTTCATTTGCATCATTCGAATGACCAGTGATGTTGAACATTTTTTCATCTGTTTATTTGCTATTTCTACTTCTTTGTCTGAGACATGTCTGTTCATTTCAGATGTCCATTTTTGTATTGGGTCTTTAAATTTGGGAGGTCTAATTCTTTTAAGTTCTTTATAGATTTGACATAGTAGACTTTTGCCTGAGGGACAGCTGGTGAAAATTTTTTCCCACCTTGTGGGTTGTCTCTTCACACTGGGGCACACCAGCTTTTTGAGAATATTGTTCATTGATTCACATCTGAAGTTCTGGTAGTTATTTGGGATCAGCATTTATACTCTTATCTGATCAAGAACATATGAAATTTTGTTTGATGTTTTGAAAGGTACAATAATTTCCTCTAACTCTGAACATGTTAGTAGCTATCTATTTAGTTCCTTTCATGGGGTAACTATAATATTCTAAAGCATCGGTACACAGAAAGTATGTAGCTCACAATTCCAACATTTTATAGAGACCTTCTTAAATCTGGAGGCAAATGATGTAGCATCAGGAAAAGCCATGGGAAAAATATTCAATATCAGATGCTTTTTATAATTTAATTGCTGCCTGTTCCCAGTCTGAATTGAATTCTGGAAAGCATGTTCTTTTCACAGTCACAGAATACATTTCAATGTGCAGCAAATAACATGTGGCTCTGGGATTTCCTCAGCTAATCACAAGGAAAAGAATCCATTGAAATTTTATTGTCTGTTGATAAATATTTTGTGCATTATTGCAACCAGTTCTAATTAGATTTATTTTTAAACTCAGGTTCTTAAATTGTACTAATAGTAAACAGTAAAATGAGATGATTATTCTAATACAGAAAACATAAACGCACCAAAACTGCCGGTCCTGCCTTGCTTGGGCTTCTTGGCACCTGTGCTGAAGCCTACCCTGTGTGGGGAGTTACTGGGTCCTGGGAGCTTGGCAGAATACTGCCAGGCAAGTTTGGTGCTGTGCTAACTGCATAGTGCAAATTATTTTAAGATCAGGTCCGTTGAGTAATAGGAGAAAGCAAATCAAATCTGAAGTAGATCAGGGTACAGACAAGGCCAGTTAACACTACTAGATATACTTCCAACTTTTCTTTCCCATTTATTTTTGTTTTCACTACAAAAAAAATTAGTCAATATGGTGACAATAAGGCCAGTTTTCCATCTTAGTGATGTATTATTCTCACTTTTTCTTGCTGATACTGGGCATTGAACCCAGGGCCTTTTCACTGAGCTGCACTCCCAGCATTTGTTTTATTTTCTATGTTGAGACAGGGTCTCACTAAGTTACCCAGGCTGGGCTCGAGCTTGTGATTCTCCTGCCTCAACCTCCCAGAGTGCTGAGATTACAGACATCGTCACCATGCCCAGCTCTTCTCACTTTCTCACTGGTGTTTTGTGCTGAAACATGAAACAAGTTTGCCCTGGGCCCAGACAGGCCTTAGGAGGGGTAGGCGCTGTTTGCTCCTGTCTGTGTTCCTGGTGCTGGGCACACAGTGGAGCCTCTGAGGATGGTCCTAGCATGGGACTCAATTATTGGAGTCTGCTTTGCTCCTTCTTGTTATTTAAGCTCTCAGTTTAAGTAGCAGTTACCAGGAGCTTGGCAGAGGTCAGACGTGTAAAAAGTGAATCATGATTGCTTGAGTATCCCAGGAGTTAGAGTTCCTTGTTCTTTTCATTAAAGAAGCACACTGAGGATTAACAAAAACATCTTATCTTCCCAGAGTTTGCCACTGGGACTCTCAGAATGGAAATGCCTGGCCTTCCTGAGAGCCCCACAGTGGCAGAGACCACCTGCTTATTTTCTTGGACTTGGGACTTAGGAGGGGGGTGATTTGAGGAAATAAGATTCTGAATGGTGTTAGATGGTCCCAGCTACCTTTTAGAACACACATCTCTGAGAGAGTCATCCCTCTATTAAATGCTCATAAACCTATCTGGCATTAGATGCATTTCAAATAATTTGTTATGCTCCTTATAGGTATCTGAAGTCTCTCCAGAAGTGTTGGCCCAAATATATTGTCTCAGTTTCATTGGTTCCTTATGAAGTGTATCTTTAAAGATAAAATGAAATTTTCAGTAGCTTATTCTTCTGAAGAGTAATCCTGTTGAAGAATAATAAACTGCTCTTTGGAGGGAATGGTGGATTTTCTCTGTAACCACAAGAGTGATTGAATGTCTACCATTCCCTCTAGCGAGCACTTCCCACTTTGCTAGTGAGAAGTGGATTTCACACCCTTTTTAGCCCTGAGTCAGCCTGCAGATTCCTCTATCAGACTTAATCACATCTCTTCACTTAATGCGGGTGTACAGTGAATAACTAGTAAGTGTCAGCGGTGCAGTTTTCAAAGAATTCTTGTTAGAACAGGAATGAATGCAATTGCAGCTTATCGTGGTTATTTTTTCCCAACAGGTTCTTAGCATGATCATCAATGCAGCCTACAAGCCTGGTAGGGTATTAAGAGAGTTACAACTGGTGGAAGACCCATACTGGAATTTTCAGGAAGAGACACTGAAGGCAAAGTAAGTGTTTTCAATCCTGGAAAACAAGAGTTCTTATGATACTTCACCTGTTCTTTTGAAACTTGTCATCCCTGGTTTTGACATAGCCTAGAGAAGTGAAAACAAACAGAATGGCCACTGTTCTGCAGTTCTGTGTGCTGCATACAGAGTTCCTGGTGGTTTTGCTGTACAGAGGTGCCTTGAGCCTTTGAATCCCTACTGGAAAATAAAGATTTACTCAGCAAACAGTTTTTTATGATAGACATTCAGATTATAACCTTACTGTGCTTGTGAGCCAATAGATTTATTTGCATGGAGAAAACATGATAAGGAAAGGATATCTCTTATCATCATGCCAAGTATGTTTAATAACAGCCCTTAATATTTGATAATGTGATCTTGGCATGGTGGCCTATGCCTGTAACCTCAGCTCTTTAGGAAGCTGAGCCAGAAGGATCACAAGTTTGAGTCCCATCTGGGCAACTTAGTGAGACACTGTCTCAGAAAACAAACAAACAAACAAACAAAACTGTAAAGGGCTGGGACTGTAGCTCAGTACAAAAGCTCTAGGTTCACTCCTCAGTGCTACCAAAAAAGAATGATATATAAAAAGAGTAATGTATTTGTGCCAAATACAAAGGTCCTCTACTCTGGAATTTGAGAGTTTTAAATAATAAAAGGAAACTATATATCTGTCTGGTTTGAATTTTGAAAAAATGACATCAGGCTCTGGCTTGACATGTCATCCAGTAACTTTCATCTTGTATTTTGAAATAGGTTGATTGGAAAGTTGAAAAATTTTTTGCTTTGAGTTTTTTGACCTCTGCAAATGAAGGCAGGAATTGTAATCAATATGCTAGAACTTGGCTGTTGAGGAGTTACATAGGGAAGGATACATTTCTCAAGATAGCATTATGTTAAATTATTACTTGGTGTTCTGAGAGGGCTTTTAATGTTCATTTATGGTTTTCCAATAGAGAAGATGTTGCTGATTGACTTATTTTATAATAGTGTCCTAAATTATCATTTCTATATAACATTTAGGAAGTGGTGTGCTTTTTTTTGTTGTTTTTGTTTTGTTGAGACAGGGTCTTGCTATGTAGTTCAGGCTGTCCTTGAACTCACTGTGTAGCCCAAGCTGGCCTCAAACTCAGTGTTAGCTTCCTGCTTCAGCCTCCTGCTGGATTACAGGCATGCACCACCATGCCCAGCTAACGTGGTACTTTTTAAAGAATGAACCACTTTTTCATGGCTAGAATGTATCTGAAGTCTTCTTTAAAGAATGCACCAATCCAAGGGCTGGGGATTTAGCTCAGTGGTTCTGGCGCCTGCCTTGCAAGCACAAGGTCCCAAGTTCAATCTCTGGTACCAAAAAAAAAAAAAAAAAGAATGTACCAATCTTGTTCATACTGAAAATCTGGGGAATTCTTGATGATTTGTCTGACCAGTAGCTTTTTCCAGTGTGGTTAACTCCTCTTGGTATCAAGTAGAGACAGTAAGACATCAGGCTGCTACTAGACATCATTCATCTTCAGTAACCCACTCAGTATTCCTGGTATCTTTTTATAACAGCTCTGCACTTTTAGATTCATTTGAAGTCTAATGATGTTCTGGCAAATCACAGAGACTAAGGACAATATATATATATATAAATAAGGAGATGATTTATTTGTATAAAGTCACATGGCAGTAAAAGGTGCTACTACATAGCATCATTCCCTACATTCTCAAGAAGTACTTAAATGAGTCTTCTCTGTAAAACACATGTTTTCCTGTCTAATATTCCATAGCTGTCTAACTTACTTAAAGGGAGAAATCATCAGCCATGGTAGAGCATTTTCTTCTAAGGTCATATCGGCAGTGGTGGCAGAAATCTTGAATAAGTGTTGATACAGACAAATCCTTCTCCTTTGTTTAAAACTTTCTAGTTCAATTCAGTAGAGCCCAGATACACCTAATAGATATGGAAATAGTGAAAAGACTGAAATCTTAAATCCCATTAAAAGCTCTCCTGCTCCTAAGTCAGCCAGTAATTTGCTCCAGATACCAGAATGACAGAGAGTTCATCTGTGAGTGTTTGCACTTATTTTCATGTTACCAGGTTGATCAGAGTTTTATTAAATCCAGCCTGATACGATCAAAACAGACACGATGAAATCCAGCCCTGCTGAATTGTAAAGGCAACATATTACCTATGATATCAAAGATGACAGGATGTTCCGTGGCAAAGTCTTACACAGCAACTTATAATGGGGAGATGTCTGTCTGAAAAGGGTTTCAACTGTGCTAGATCACAGGTAGCATCTCCAAGCAGCTGCTAGTGATGACAGGTTTACAGTCAGCAGGAGCCTTCCTGTGACGATCCTGTGTGTTGAGTCACCTCTTTCCCTCTGATGGAAAAAGACAACTTTGTAGATCATGACAACTTTGCTATTTTCTTGGGTACAAATGGGAGGAGATGGAGCTGGCTTCTTCCCATTTTCTGAAAGGTAGAAATGCTTTCTGTCATGAATAAATTGACAGCTTAGGAAAGGCCGATTTAGGGCATAAAGTGATCTTGGCTGTTGTGGGAGCTGAATTGTGTCTTCAGGAAATGAAGGCCTTGAGATTGTCCACAAGGATGTGTGATTGGTGTCACCAAGTGCTTACTGACTGTTGTTTTCTAAAGAATACAGACCCATTTACTTGACAGGCTAAAGGTGCCTTTGCAATGGTTTTGACTGGTAAATGTAATAAAACTAACATATCATGTAAGTGGTCTCTTAATGACTGTACCTTTCACACTGCTAGGGAAATTATTGTAATATTTGAACAACAGGTAAGGTTGTATCATATCATTAGTCCTCAATAAGTATCAAGAAACAAAGATGTCCTAGCTGTAGAGCAAAGAAAAGGTGGATTCTAATGTAATTCATTCCAGCTGTTCTGGAAGAAAAGATTTCCTTCTTTGTGATGACTTCAGGTTTTCTAAATTGACCTACATTATTTTAAATTTCCAGAGAAGAAATTTATGTTGTCCCATGGAGGAATTAAAAAAAGTCCAACTCTATGCATCTAGAGACATTTAAATACGTTTGTCAAGTGTGTTATAAAATCTTCTTGGAGAAAAAAATATTAACTCATCTTTGAACAGCTTTTGTGTTAATCATGAAAGCCAGGTGAAGGCCTAACAGATTTTCCAGTCCTTTGTTTCAGGTATTGAGAACATTTAAAGAGGAAATATACTGATATAATTTCCAAACAATTAGACTTCATTATCAGTTAGGCTGAGGCAAGGGGGTAAAGTCAGATATATGTACTTTTAGGTAAGACAGGCTTAGCTCTGTGGAAATATTTTGGTTTCTTCTTTTAAATAACCAATAGCTAATTTTGTATGTGCTTTTGTTTACTCCACCCACCGTTTTTTTTTTCTTCTTCTTCTTCTTTTTTTAAATGTTGGAACAGGGTCTTGTTAAGTTGCTTAGTTGCCCAAGCTGGGCTTAAACTTGTGATCCTCCTGCTTTAGCCTCCCAGAGTGCTGGGATCACAGGTTCGTGCCACCATGCCCAGGTAGCTGCTTCCTCGCTTCTTTTGTTTGTTTGTTTGTTTGTTTGGTTGGTTGGTTTGTTTTCATTTTACTCAAGCCCATAGTTTTTGAATAATAAGATGTAATATTTGGCTATAAGTGATTGATGTGGAAAAGGATTCCCAAATGGAGAGATCTTCGTTAAAACAGATTTTGTGCGTCCATTTGTATATCTTACTCAGATGAGTGGGATTTGCTGTCCTGAAAATGGATGTGGCAGACTTGAGCAAGCAGATGAGCCAACCTGATCGAGGACAGAACTCCATTTCTCTCTGTACTTAAATTCGTCATATTATGGTGTAGAGTCCCTGGTTCAAAGGCAGAGCAGTTTAGGATGTTCTGGAGGAGAAGTGGTGTCTTTCCTAAAATAAACACAGTATCCATTAACTGTGCATAGTTCCTCTTAAAATACAGGAAGTAAAATGAAAGAAAGAAATTTCGGAATGATGAAGTGTCATGAGACTGAAAGGCGATGAGCTGTTATACCACCCTTAGTATAAGATGATGATGATGAGACCGATGAAGTAAAAGCAGTCTTTTGAAGAAAAATCCAAACCTGTCTTACTACCTCTGTTGTGAAGAATGTTTTTCATGCCACAAGCAGAGCTTCCCTGTTTCCATAGGGTCATTAGAGTTCCTTGGGGTTTTTTATTTCTTCCTCCAGTGTTTGAGGAGGTGAACTCAGTTTAAGAATAGGAAATTTGATCTCCATTCCCTCACCCCCATCAGCACCTGATGAGATTTCGCTAAGAGATCCTGATAGGCATCATTTTGAAGATGAATGATTGCATTTAGGCCCCATTGATATTACCTTGTTTGGATTGTGCTCTTAGTTATGAATGGATCATTACATTTCTTTTTTTCCCTCAAAATCCATTCTGTTTTTTGTCCTCCGGTCTTAACCTACTGAAGAAGGGATCAGTCTTTCTAGCACTCCTTTTGCTCCCTTTCTCTGTCTCCTTCTACTGCAGCAATAAGCACTCACACATGATAATAAATTCTTTCATTGGTTAGGAGGAAAAAATTGGAAAGCCAGGAAGGAAAAAACTTATCCACAGAACCTCTTAGGTTCTGTGTCTGGGATCTTGCAAATAAACTGTCAGAAAACACCGTCAGCAGGAGAACAAAGGGAATTGATTTACAGGTGGGAATGTTCAAGGATGAGCATGCAAAAAGACAGTTAGAATTTGGAGCTTCTGTAGCTATCTTAGTAGAGGAGGAGGCAGAGGAGAGAAAGAAGGGATTTCTCTGAGAAAGAGAAGTTGGATTGTAGGAAAACAAACAGGAGATAGGAAGGCTCTTGATAATGTGTTTATGTGGATATGAGTGGTCTTTTCCTCTTCACATACATAAAAAGCTGCTTTCGAGAGGGGATTTAGGGTGGGTCTGCTTGGCCCCCTCTCCTGGGAGTAGAAGCTGCCCCAGAGCAGATTTACGACAGTCTTCATGAAGCTGGATGCTTTGTCTCTTTCATGTGTCTCTGTCATTCTTTGATTTTTTTTTTTTCTTTCTGATTCAGTGTATTGCAAACTCATCTCCTTTCCTGGCCCCAGTCCTGGAATTAGCCATTTCTCCAAGGAGCCTTGGTTTTCCTTGTCTTGTGATTTTTGAGGGGGCGGGTGAATATGCTATTTAGAACCTAAGACCTGACATGAGTTATGCTCACTGCTAATAGGGTATACCTGCTACCAGGCTCTCAGTGGATAGAATTAAGGGGTTTGTGTACATGTGCACAGGATTCAGCATATAGTTGCACTAGCAGCTACAGTTTAGGTGTAGTAGCATCATGAGGAGTAAACACAGGCAGTCTGGAAGAATCTCCATGTGCAGGCTTTCTCCTGTGCTCTCTCTCTTGGGGACACATGGCAGCACCCACTCCTTCCCCGGCAACAAAAATTCGAGACTACCTGGGTGATATCTCTGACCGGAGCAGCCAAGCCCGGAGTTCTTATCAGGGGCTGGCCCCTTGCATGCCCTCTCTCAGATGCCAGAGCTCCAGCAGGAAAGTTGGAGGTCCCAGTGCACCATGTGGTTTGCGCAGTCTAATCACAGTAAACCACCCAAGTTACTTTGGAAGTTCCGAGATGCCAGTCAGTAGTGCATCTTGCCAGATGGCTTATCTAGAAACAGCAGCGCCATCGTTTCTCGGCCTTTTGACTAAGATCAAGTGTAGAAACAGCAGCTCCAGGCCTGCTTTGTCAACCTCTTTCTGCGTACTCCCCACTGGGTCTATTCTAGGCTTGGTATAACAGGCCCGCTCCATCCTACCCTTTCCTTTCCCATGTTTGCATCTCCTCTGTGACAATGGGAAACCTGGCTCTGCTAGCTTCGGGATATGTATTTGATCAGGGCCCTGCATCACCCCACTGTCCTCACCCTCTCACACCGTCCCCATATACAGATGGCTGCCTCACCTGCCCCAGCCCGAGGACAGGATGACCCTCAAGGAAAGGAGAGGTAGTGGCAGGACTGGCAGGAGGGCAACAAACCTGCATTGAACCCCAACAGCAGTCATTGTCTGGACAGCTCTGGGGTTAGGAAGGCCCATCGTGGTTGTTCTGAGTTGTGCCCATGAGGCCAGCCCTTTTTAACCCCTCTCCCCTGGCCAGTTGCTGGATGGGAACCATCCTGGGAAAGGCCAGGGTGAGGCGGCTTTGGCAGCTAAGGCTGACCCTCTGGGAGCTGCAGCTGAAAACTGTCTGCCAGCAGCTGTGACAAGCGGCCCCACCACCCAGCCCCTGCTCCCTCCTGGGTCAGTCCTTCCAGTGGAATCATGCAGGAAAGGTAAGAATGAAAAAAGCCATACAGTATTTTAAAATTGCGCTATAAATCTAATTTTCATATGTTTAAATGGGCTTTTCCTCATTATGAAAAGTTTTACTAATGCATTTGCTTCCACTGAATCATCCCAAACTAGGAAGGAAAAAAAAGCCATCCTCTTCCCATTTCCCACAGAAATCAGTCCCCTCGCTCCACCTGTCCCTCTTATGTGTCATGGTACACATATACTTTGTAATTCGAAGGTTTGGTGAACATACATGTTGTCTTTGAGTTCTCTCCACAGTTTGACATCGAACCTGGCTTTCATGACTGTCCCCTTTTTTAAAATGTCTTGTTATCTTATTTTTTTTTAAGAGATGTTAAGAATCTTGATATTGAGCTCTTTTAAACAGTGCCTTAGGACCATCAAATGTGGAGTGGATGAAACTGCAAGAAAAGCAGACCCAGGCAGTATTTTAATTCTGCATTTTCCACAATGTGTGGGATCGGCAGTGTTCACAGAGCGGTGCTGATTTTGCTGTGAGCCAAAAGCAGGAAAGTTTTTGCATACAGGGTTGATAGAGGTTCTAGGAAAATCAACAGTTGAGTAAAGATAGAGGATTTAAAACATGATTTTATCTACAAAGCATTGCTTTTTAGTTCTAACTACACAGAAAGTCAAGCTGGGCACATCAGAGAAATGAAGAAAAGAAAGGGCAGAGGTTCTAGGACATGGATAAGCAGTGAATAAATACAAAGTACTTTTTTCAAGTTAGAATTTAGTTATTTTGCCGTTGGGACTTTAAAAATGATTTATTAGGTAAAATGTATTTTTCCAGTCCCTGCAAAGACATTTTAAACAAGTTACAATACAGTCAGTAGTAGTTTTTCCTGTTCATTTCTATCACCAATAATCTGGTTGTTGTTTGGGAACCAGATCAAGTTTTTGAGCTGAATGTTTTACCTACCAATTACAAAAAGTGGCACCCCCCCTTTTTGTACTGATATTTGCTCAAATTAATTGCCTGACATTCCCGTTGTATCTTGTGTGAACTGAATGGATGAGTATTAGAAAGGGCAGGTTAGAGGAAGATTTTAGTCTTGGCCTCACCGGTTGGCATTGTTGGCTTACCTAGGAAGTTCATTCTTCTTGACTGTAGTTGCTTTTCCAAAAATTGAAACAGGTGTTGTCTTCCAGAGCTACTACTACCTGCTGTTTTTCTGCAAAATAAAGTGTTCAGGATTTCAACTTAAAGATGAGAACACACACATTGAAGGCAGGGTTTCATAGGCAGCTATTTTAATGCACCCACGTGGGATTGGCTTCTAGTTTAGTGATCAAGAACTAAACAAAGACCTATGATCTGATTCTAACTGGAAAGTTGGTCATTATTTTGCACCTGTGATAGATTTAAAACAGTATTGAAAGGTGATTGAAATTTATTTCCAAATGTTCATTGTTTTGGCTAGTTTTTTGTTTATATCATATTACCATAAATACGTACATAAAAGCTTCATAACCTCTTTAATACAACCATCCATTCTGCTTTCTGTAAATCTAATTATTAGTTCTATGGTGATGACTCCATCACACGTTTCTTCTTAGAAGCATTCTCACTCTATATTCTCTGTCTTCTTGGGGTGTGCAGTTAATTTTTATTTTCTCTAAATAGTTACACTGTTTTATTGGCAGTAGTGGGAGTTGAACCCAGGGCCTTCTCACTTATTTATTATTTTGAGATGGGATTTTGCTAAGTTGGTAAATTGTCCAGGCTGCATTTGCACTTAACTGTCCCCCTGCCTCAGCCTCCCAGAGTGCTGGGATTACAAACATGTGCCACAATGCTGGGCCTTGGTACTTGCAGTTAAGCAATATGGATGGATGGCACTTTCTTCTGTTGCAACTAGGTCCCAGGAAAGATGGCAAGAGATTAATATTTAAATATCACGGCAGTAAAGCAGCCATCTCTGTAGGCAATGTTAGTTGTATTTTTAGGATTTCTATACCATCAAATCAGTTTATTGTGGGTAAGTATAAGAAGTGTTTTGAGTTATTAGGTCTCATTTTGTTGGTACCTTGAAAAGTTTTTTGGATAACTACAATAACGTTAGTCTAAACTGGTCTTCTCCCTAAGAGAAGAGAAAAGTACTTAAGGATGACCTCAGAGGATCATTACAAAATGTAAACCAAAAAAGGAGAAGTGCACAGTGAACAGCACCATGATCAAGGAGAAAGCTTTGTTGGTGAAACACTATTTTAAGATCTTTGTCCTTGTTTTTCCCTTGCCCACTTGAGATATGAGATTTGTGTTAGTCAGCCCAGGCTTCCGTAAGAGAATACTGCAGGCTGAGCAGCTTCATCAGCAGTTATTCATTCTCTCCCAAGTGTGGAGGTTGCAAGTCCAAGATTAAGGTGCCGGTAGGGCTGGTTTCTCTGAGGCCTCCCTCCTTACCATGTGAATGGCTGTCATCTCACAGTGTCCTCACATGGCCTGCTGTCTGTGCTCATATCTCTGATATCTCTCCTTCCTCTTGTCAGAACATCAGTCCTATTGTACCAGGGCCTGCCCTGTGGACAACATTTAGCCTTAATTTCCTTATAGGCCCCATTTCCAAATACAGACATGTTGGGTTTGGGACTTTAACCGATGAATTGGGAGAACATAGTTTGTTCCATAACAAAAGTGAAGGTCTCTGAAGTGAGGTCCCTTGGTTAAATTAACTACCCTTTTTTTTTTTTTTTTGGCTCATTTTGTTTTAAATTGGAGAGACACATTTTATTATTCTTTGTTTGTAAATAAAGACCGTCACTTTCTTGGAGAAGCTTTTTTCTGTAATTGTTGCTAGTTCACTGGAGGTCCATTAGGGTTCCGTGAGCACCAGAGCCCCTGGCTGCCTGCTGGTGTCTACAGGGCGAGGAGTTCTTATGTGGTCTGTTCACTTTGTATGGCTGTGCTACAGTTTGTGGTTTTGGGTTTTTTTTTCTTTTCTTAGAAAATCCATTGTGTTTCTCTTCTTTTTAGTGTGACCTTGTTTATCTGTCACCATTCTACACAGATGCCATTTATGAGTGATGAAGTTGTCCCAATTTCAGCAATAAGATATATAGTCTTGACAAAGATGTCGTTTCAATGTCCTGAATTGGAATGGTTTTTCAAAGCAGAATCATGATCCCATACGCACCTCTGGTTTTCAGAAGTGAAATATAGGGGCAGGAAAATATCCATAGATTTCATTAGCCTCATTTTGAGAACCATGCCTATTGGGTATGTACTATGCACTACCAATACTTGTTATAGGATTATAGACAGCACAGAGAGAATATGTTAAATTGAAATCTTTACTGAAGTGGATTAGTACTGTTAATTATGTATTTTGTGCATTCGAGTTTGCATTTCTTAAAAATATTTTTCTAAGGTTATAAGGAAGTATAAAACAAAGTGAAAAGGACACACAGTATGCTTCGTTGTTAGTAAATGAAGTGGCTCCTTTTGGAATATGCTGTATGGAATAAGTCTGATTAAATAATTTGATCTCACCATTGCTTTTCCTTTCTTTCTTTGTAGGTACAGAGGCAAAACATACAGAGCTGTGGTCAAGATAGTGCGAACCTCTGACCAGGTAGCAAACTTCTGCCAGCGTGTATGTGCCAAGCTAGAATGCTGTCCAAATTTGTTTAGTCCTGTGCTGATTTCTGAAAACTGCCCAGAGAACTGCTCCATCCACACCAAAACCAAATACAGTAAGTACGAGTGATGAAAGACAACCCAACTACAGCAGGCCTGACCTGCAGAGCAATGTTATTTGGTTTCTGTTTTGTTTTTAAACTTCGGAGTAGTTTTTCATAGGAATTGATCTGGAGAATTCTTTAAGATTTGCTGTGGCAGATCCCTGTGTTTTGTTTTGTTTTTGTTTTTGATACCAGGGATTGAACTGCGGACCTTTTGCATGCGAGGCAGGCGGTGGCACCACTGAGCTAAATCCCCAGCCCAATCCCAGTGTGTTTTTAAGGCATAGGAAGAGAAGGGATGATTCCAAATAGGATGGATTATCAATGGCAGACTCTGGAAAGGGAGGGATGAGAATATCAGAAACTCACCGTCATGAATTCCAGGGGCTTGACTGATCCCACAGCAATATGGCTGCAAGAAGGACGTGATAAAATGATTACGGTGATACAATAGCTGGGAACTTGAACTGACTTCCTGTCTTTACACTGAGCAGTTGTAATGACTCTTCCGGTGCTTTTCTTGCCACACCCTTGCCACAGCTTCTCCCCTGCACAGATGCAGCCCTCAGAACTCTCTCTGAACATTGGAGAACATTCATCCAGAAGCACCCATCCCTTTTTTGGTCTCAGCTGCCTTAGTTTGAGCACTGCAAGGCATGGTCCAGGATTGGCCTTACTCTGCCAACCTTTAGGACATGCCACTTCTACCCTGTCTCATGTAGACACCCCTGCCTTGGGCTGACTGTCTCTTTGCTCTTCCTCTGTTCTTACCATTTTCTTCTCCTCCTGGGTAGCCACCCTACATGCTCCACCTCTGATATCTTGAGCTCTGAAAAGTCTGATTCACAACGTCTGATCTCCCTACATCTCCCCTCAGTTGTCTCATCCCAGGGCAAAGACCTGGAAGTTGGCTCTGCCACAGCAAATGACACATTCCAGCCACATGGTCAACGTTCTGTGAGGAGCCTTCTGGCATTTGTCAGCTTGTGTGTTGGAACCAGGAATTCAGATGTACTTAGGCCAGTGTTCAGATTGTGACTTTCCTTCTATTTTGTCTGTTTCTCTCTGTACAGACACCCACACCCAAGCCCACCTTCCACCTCCATTCCTGCTAAAAGTCAGCTACTCCCTGTGTCAGCTGTTCCCCTTTTCAGTAGGCACAGTGGTGTGGTCTTCAGGTGAGAACCATGGGTGTGTTTATGTCACCTGGTTCCTGAAGAACTCCTTTCCACATCACCTTTGGCCAGGGCAGGGATTCACTGGGCACCAGCTGCTTCTCCATAGAAAACAACTTGATTGGCAGCTAAACTTCATCTTACAAATTGGCTTCCCTGTACTTCTGGGACAAAGGCAACTAGAGAGAAGGAGCAGCCATTGTTATCTCAATTACAGGCAGCTGAAATGAGCTGAGAGATCATTCTGGATCTGGATTTAGAAAATTTAAAAATCCTAAGATCCTCTTGGTCACTGCAGAGCAGCTATTGCTACAGATCAAGCCTGAGCGCTAGTGGGTGGATAACAACACTGTTCAGGTGGGTTTTGGGAATGTATGGGCAGGGTCCACTCATCTAATGTGAGGGCTCAAGAAGTATGCTATAGTCTGATTGCATTCAGTGAACCCAGTTCTGATTTCTGGCTGCCAGTTTCTAAAACCCAGACTGTGCCACCTTTGTCTCACCTGCTGGGAGCTTTGGGTGTGAGCCAAAGCTCAATCCCTCATACCCACAGCTGAAGGTAACAGTGAAGTAGTGTTTGTCCCACAGCAGTGTGCTCTGCCTCAGCTAAGAGTGTGGTCCTAGTACAGCTGGGTCTGGGAAGCTGTTCCAAGCTCTCCTGCTGCCCTGAATCCTGATGAAAGAGAGCAGGGATGCTTTCTGGGAGCCCCAGGGCTGCTGCCATGTACTCTCTGGACAGTTGTTGTGAACATGCTTCTTGTGGGCCCAGTGCAAGTAAGAGATGTAGGGAATAGAGAAGTCTAGACTGGAAGGAAATCTGTGTCCCTTAGTCCTGGTAGTCTCATCTTGCAAATGAGGAAATTGAGTTCCAGGAATGTCAGGAGCCCGATCTGTGTGACAAAGCTAGTGGTTTGGTGGGGTGGGATGTATGGAATGGCGCTTCCCCACACCATGGGGACAGCAGCCATAACCAAAGAGCTGTGCATTTTTGTTCTATTTTGTTTTGTTTTGTTTTTTGGGCTCACTTCATTCGTTGGTAAGGATTCCTCGGATGCCTTTGGTCCGTCCATCCATCCCCCCCACCCCCAAACTGGGGATGGAACTCAGGACCTTGAGCTTTCGAGGCAGGCGCCACTGAGCCATATCCCGGACCCTTGCATTAGGTTCTTTCACGGGATGGTGGCATCCCACCGGGACAGTTGAGCTTTCAGGTAGTAAGTAAGCCATCTTGATCTCAATCATAATTGAATCCTGGATCCTATTAGTGCTTTAATTAGTTGATTATATACTTAACTTATAAAAACATTAATCATTCTTAAAAATTGGTAATAATTTTCAAACTAGTGCTTTAAATGTTGATAAATACATGTATCTCTGCTGTGAAATTCAGAAGTAGTGAGTTTCCCCTGAATAAGAACACAGGAGAGTTCACCTCTCTTATTACAGAAAGAATGCTGTTTGAACGTGAATTCAACTGTTATGCTTAGGATGTTAGTTTGTCTTGGTCAGATCAAGAGGTGAGAAAATCTGTCACGACCCAGTGAATGTAACCAAAGTGCTCGTTGACTGACAATTCAAGTTCAGACTTGAGAGTAGGTGTCAGCAAACTCCAGTGGAAGTAATTGCTCCCTCCATATGCAGTGTTTGGGACCAGGAAAGGGAGAAGATGAACTTCCAGAAAGACTATAAGCACCTTTGACTCCTTTTACCGTCTGTCTGCTTGGGCTGCCACAATAGACTACTCCGGAGGCCTGGTGGCTTAAGCAACAGACATTTGTTGCCCACAGCTCTGAGGCCTGTAGTCTAAGGTGTCAGCAAGTTTGGTTTCTGACTGTTCCCTCCTTGCAGACACCTGCCTCCTGGCTTTGTCCTCCTGTGAGGTATTCACCTGGGGGTCTCTTCCTTTTCCCATAAGGACACCAGTGCTGTTGGTTTAGGGCCCCACCTTTACAATCTCATTGACCATTAATTGCCTCCTTCATGCCCCTCTCCTGATACACTCATACTGGGATTAGGTCTTCAACGTGTGAGTACTGAGCAGACATGAAATCTGTAATACCTTCTAACCTTGAAGCATCAGAGAAATGTTTTCTCTGTGCAGCTGTTATCTCAGACCATGTTCCTGAGGTACAAATGAGATGTCAAAGGTACATTGTCCAAAATGAAAGAACCACTCTCTCCTCTCTTTTTTCCCTCTCTGCCCTCCTCTCCTGTCCTCTGACTTTGTCCACATACCTGTGTTTAGACTAAACATTTTTAAATAATCTTTCTCCCTATAGCTTATTATTATGGAAAGAGAAAGAAGATCATTAAGCCCCCAATTGGGGAAAGCAACATTGAAAGCGGACATCCTAAACCATCCAGGAGAAGGAAGAGACGAAAATCCATCTTTGTACAGAAGAAACGGAGATCTTCAGCCGTGGACTTCACAGCAGGCTCTGGGGAGGTGGGTTCTGTCCTCAGCATTTTCCAGCATTTGGTTTTGACATTCAGCGCATGAAGCCAGGCGCTGCTGCACTGAAGGCCACAGGTGAAGTCTGCTTGCACAATGGTTCAAAGTATGAATTAAGGAGCCCCCTCCTCCTCCTATGGACATCGTGTGTTCAGCTGCTTTGGCTCAGAAAGGGTGGCATTAGGACTATGGTGGGGACCATCAGCTGAGTCTTCAAAGGCTTCCTAGGAGAAGCACTGGGAGGGAAAGGAGCTGGGATCGCAGCCCGCCTGTGTCCCTTCCTATCCACCCTCCATCAGCAGCACATTTCTCTTCCTCCCAGGAAAGTGAGGAGGAGGATGCAGACGCCCTGGATGACGACACTGCTAGTGAGGAGACTGGCTCTGAGCTCCGAGATGACCAGACAGACACCTCCTCAGCAGAGGTGCCCTCGGTGCGGCCCCGGAGGGCTGTTACCCTGCGGAGCAGTTCAGAGCCTGCCCGCCGGCCACCTGTGGAGAGGGCACGAAGGGGCCGCCCGGTGCCCACTACTCCCTCTGCCGAAGAGGGGGACAAGGGCCCACCTGCCAAGCCTGAGGGCTCAGAGGTGAGCTTGGGATGGAGTGTGCCACTCCTCTTTATGAAAAATGTGAAGCCAGGTGTGGTGAGGCACACCAGTAATTTCCATACTCTGGGAGCCTGAGGCAGGAAGATCACAAGTTCAAGCCCAACCTGGATAATTTAGCAACTTAGTAAGACCCTGTTTTAAAATAAAAATGGCTGGAGATGTAGCTCAATGCAAAGTCTCCAACTCAATCCCCGGAGCTACAGGAGAAAAAGAAGAACATGAATTACAGTTTGGAGCAAGATTTTGGGAAAACCTCTTTAAAATATCAAAAATGGTAGCAGCTGCTCCAGTAAAGTTCCTAAGGGTGAGACAAAAGGCGCTGATCTCACCTGCTGGCAGAGCAGGTCACGCAACATGAGAAAGGAATCTACAGGGGTGGGACAGTGTCTTTACTGGGTGGCTTGAATACCACCAGGGCTTTTTGTCAGGAGGGCAGACAGGTCAGGTCCTCTGGGCCCCTCTGGACACCAGGCTTCTAGAATTCCTTCTCCAGCCTCCTATTTCTGGCCTTGCATTTTGCTCTTTTTCCTTTATGGGGTACCTCTGTGCTGTCCTCAAATATTAAATCACTGTACCAGGCTTCCCCTAAATCTGCAGGGAGCAGGTAATCCCCTGAAAAGGTGATTGGCACCATGGTCACAAAACCCCGTGACTGATCTAGTTGGAGTCAGTCAGTAGGCCAAAGCTCTTCCTAACTGGGCCATCACTCAGTAGCATGAATTACTGTGGCTTAGGAGAAGAGAAGACTTACTGAGACAGCTGCCATGAGACACCCCAGAGACTAAGTTACTGGGACTTGTTCAAGCAAGGGAGGTAGTGGCTGTGGTCTAACGCAGTGACTGGGGTCTGGAGGGCATAGGAAAGGACCCAGCTGACACACAGGGTGCAGTGACTGTCTCCTGCTCACCTTCCCCTGCAGGACATGAAACAGGAGGACGAGGAAAGGCTCATCCTGGAGAGCAACCCATTGGAGTGGACAGTCACCGATGTGGTGCGGTTCATTAAGTTGACAGACTGTGCCCCGTTGGCCAAGATCTTCCAGGAGCAGGTACACACCTCACAGTGTGGGCTTCAGTTCATATTAGGAGGCTCCAGATCTTACAGGAACCTCCTGTCTTTCTTGGCTTCTGCATCACTGCCAGATGAGAGTCAAAAGTCCCAGCTGCAGGTGACATCTGCGCGAGGCCTCCTGGGTACTGCTAGGCAGGTGTGGGAGACCCCGCTCTCTGCAGGACCCCATTAGAACCTTGTTCCCACTTCCCACTGGCCTCACTGACATCATGGGGGATGAGGCTCCTCACATAATACCCCTTGGACTGCCCAGTAGGGAGTAGGAGTCCAGTCTCCACCGTCAGTCTGTACTGACCCCACAGTGGGGGACTCACCCTTTACTGAAAGGCAGAGAAAAAAACTAAAAGCTCCAGCAGAACTTAGTGGTATTAACCTGAAATCTCCATCTGTTTGGCCTTCTCAGATGCTGCCTTGGGGGTCTCAGGTGCCTTATTGCAGCCTGGCTGAGCTGCTTGCTGGGCCTTATACCTGGTACAGACAGGGCTGGATCAGATTTCCCTGTGGTGCTTGTTTGCCCATAGAGCTGCTAGTGTCTGCAGGCTTTTTGTCTTGCTAAGCTGTCCCTTTGCTAGTCCTCTGGGTATAAAATGCATGCTTTGAGTGGGCCCTCTTATCAGTCCCTGTTAGAAAATCTAAGTTGCCAAGTTTTTCTGCTCTAAATTTTGATTATGTGATCCACACAACCACCGCAAAACTAAACAAGTAACTCTGCACCATGTCATCAACTTAGGTCCTGGGTCCCTAGCTGGTCTGCCATTTTTGCTCTACTTTTCAGAGTCTTCTCTTTGATTTATAGATAATGTCAAGTGGTTTTACTTATGCTCCACAGGAGAAGTAGGGGAAAGTGTGTCTGCTACACCTTAGTTGAGTGGCCACTTTCTGATCATTGTATTCATTTAATCCTGATTATTATTTTCTTACTGTCCTCATTTCTTTCATCATGAGATAGTGAAAACCTATGGTCTTGTGACAGGTGTAAAAATAACTGATGTAATCTGTACCTAGGGGAGCTTATAATCTAGCAGAGGAAGTAATGATAGTTAGCTAAAACATAAGACATGCTATGATGTGCTATGGGAAGAAAGAGTTTTCACTTACATGTTCCCTTAAATTAATAAGAAAAGAAATTGCCACTCCACACACCTACCACCATATACCATTCTTCACTGGCCTTGCCTGAAAAGTTCAAGTTTAAGCCTGTGGTTCTTTCTGTACTCTGTGCGTACCATTTGTCGAAATTTCTTACAGGGTCCCACAGTGTAAAAAAACTCTCTTTTAAGACCTCATGTTAAAAAGTACTGTTTTCCATATAATAAATTAAAGATATGTTTATCCAGTCTGTTTTTAGACTTAACAAACCGAAAGTCTAGAAAGAGAATTTTTCAAGCATTAAATAAGAAGGAAAAACAAGGTCTCTGGTTTCCCATGTCCAGGGAAGTTCACAACTTCTCTCCCTAAGTCAGTGCAGTAATGAATTATGCAAGGCAAATTAATGCAGTCCCCTGAGGAGAGTACTGTAATTCAGAGTTCTCACATGCTGTAAATAGGGAAGTCCACGAGGTGACGTGATCATCTGTTCCACCCTGAAACCTTTTGCAGACACCCAGTAAGTTCATGCTCTGGGAATGAATGGGGCCAGGCAGAGGGTCACCTCCCAGCTTTCTGAAACTTGCTACACTTCCTCAGTGGGTGACACTGAAAACAGACAAAAAAGGAGCTCTTTTTGACCTAAAGAACCTGGGCAATGACCTTGCCCTTTCATAATAACACACAGGCAGGAAAGAGAGAATTACAAGCCATGTTAGAGCTGACGTGACATGGGGCTTGTTGATAAGCCACTTTGTGTTCTTGAAAATAAAAATAAAACAATAGGTTGAAATCCCTTGGAAAGCATTGCCTAACACGGCATTTACTCTGTCTGCTATTTATGGGTAGTAGGGCTGCCCCTACCCTAAAAAAGCATTGTACTCAAGTACATGACAAAAGGTGATTACACAGCTTTAATATGCTAATATGGTTCATTCAAATATACAGATGAGCACCTGCTAGATGCCTTACAGTATCCATAAAGGGGTTATGGAATGTAGCTCTGTATATTTTTGTTTTTGTTTTAGGCTCAAAAGCCATTTTAACTAAAAAACATTTTTCAGTTGAGCCAGAAAAAAGAGCACAGATTTTCTCACTTCTACTTTCCAAATTAGGTTTGGGGCTTGAATCCATTTATACAATGAAAGGTAACCATTCTACCTTGTACAAATTCCCAGTAAAAGAAAGTGAAACAGAGCTGGTTTGGGGAAAAGGCTAATATACTACTTATACAAAGTCCTATTTTATTGTACTCCTTAGCCCAGTCTCTAACAATATCGCAGAACATTTCAAAGACATGAGACTTTACTGGCATGTTCCCAAGTGTCAAATTAAGCCATAGGCAAGAGCCTCCTTCCATCGGTAGCATCAGTCAGTTAAAAACTTGGTCTGTCATTCAAACTTCTTTTCTCTTATGAAAGACAATAGGTAGGCTTTAATTGATAAATAATCTTAATCCCATTTAATTTTACATTTCACATTAGACAATTTCACCTGTTGTAATAAAGAGCTGTTGCCCGCTGGGCTGTCTGCAGTGCATGGGCACTCAAGTCCTTTCCTGTTCCATCAAACCTTTAATTACTCATTCTTACTAATTTATTCTGTCATCTTTTAGCCTAAATGCCATGGCTCTGATTTGCCAAGGCCTCCAGTGAGTCACTGCAGGCATTGTCTGGGCTCTTAGATGAACTAGAAGGACCCTGCAGGCTTTGTCCACCTGCCTGTACAAGAGATCACAGCGCACAGGGTAATAGCTGTGTGTGTTCACCCTCTGGGTGTTACAAATTCAGAGACTGTTATAATCACCAGGAGCATTTGCAAAAATTATAAACTTCTCATTACCAGCATATATGCCTTTTATTTCTGAAATATTATGGCAACCTTTTAAAAAATCTATACTCTATAATTTCATGCTGCAAACACATACATTATACAGGAAAAACTACACATCTATAACTAAAAAGAAATCCCATATGACTGTAAACAACATTGGCCAACTCATTCACCTTTTGTGAAGCAGTCTGCTTTTGTACTATAAACAGACTGTCCAAATTAGTGATCTAGCAAAAAAAATTTTCAGGCTAGTTTACAAGCTTAGTTTTGATTGAGACTATTCCCTCCTCTTTTTACTTCTACAGACCTGAATACCACTATTAAGGGACTGCCAAATCCTAAATGGACCTCTATTATCAAAATAAATGCAATATTGATATGTGTGAAGAATAACTTCCATGTTATATATTTTATATTTCATTTCTTTAAAATTAGTAGTCTGTTTATGATGATTCTTTTTTAACGCAAGTGATTTGCCAGCAAGTCTGAGCTCTGTAGGAGTATATTTATAAAAATTAAGTCAGCTGTGAGGACTGGTATGTTACCTACATAATTCTTGAAGAAAAAAAAAAACCTTTCAAACCAAAACAAAGGCTCCCTCTCACAGGGCGCTAAGCTTGGCTGAATTCTCTTTTGCCAAGTGTCGTTTCTGTTCACACTATCTTCCTCCTCCCCCATCATGAGGTGGAACAAAGGTAGGTGGCACACAGGCTGCAGCCCAAGGGAGCATGACATAGGGTTAGCTGTCCCTGTAGGTCTCCTTAGTCCTTCTAAAGCAAGGACATCTGATGGTCAGGTGGCTAAATTTGGCTGCTTTCAGCAGGCAGTGTAGAAACAGAGGCATGATTTTGTTCTTGGTATGATAGTCTTCTCATAGTGGTAATACCTGGGAATTCTGTTTTATATCATCTAGGGAGGATGGAAAATGAGTAGAGAGCCCAGAGGTTGCAGGAGGTGGCAGCTTCAGGCCAAGCCATTTTTAGCTTCTCCTTGGCTATCAGGACCAATTTTTGGTTAATTCTTCCCATATAAAAAGCAAGATGGAGGATCTCTATATTTAGTTTATAGTTTAGCTTCAAGCTCCCCTCCCCTTATAATCTATATCTTCCTGCAAATAGGAGTTTCTTTGCAGACAAAACTCAGCTCTTGTTTTCTCCTCAGGACACAGTCCCCAATGTACAAGGGCCAAGGCGGGGGATGTAGGTGAGCCAGCGCTAACAGAGATTTAAAGGCATGCCCTTCATGTGCTTCTGCTCCATGCTGCCCATGTTTGGAATTCACTGCACAGGGAGTGTGGGCTGTGCTCCATTCTGCACCTGCAGTGACAAAACAGCTACCCTTTTATACAAAGGGTTTTCACAACTGCTGCTGGCTGAGCAGGGAGAAGCTGGGCTGAAAGCAGCTTCCTATTTCCTTTTCTTCTTGGAGAAGTGAGGACAGCTCATTTGGCCATGTGCAGGGACCCAAGCTGGAGGGGTATCTGCTCTGAGATCAGAGAATGCCACATCGAGGTCCCTAAAAATCACTATCTCTCCCTCCGTTCTGTGTAGCTCTGCCGCTCCAACTAGTGCCATGACATCAGAGGCTGCCTACACTCCTGAGAGGCAGATAAGCAAGCAGGCAAAGGAGCCCTATTCCCATTCAGGAAGAGTAAGGAACAGAGAGTTTCTTTGAAAAGCTATGTTGAAGCTCTCCAATATCTTTTATGTTAGCTTATTATGGAATTAGTTTTTCATTTTTTCCCCTTTCTCATATCAAGGGTTTTCTTTTGAAGGCATCATAGCCAAAAACTGGGATAGGTTTGACTTTCATAATTTAAAGAATGCGCACACAGGTGTCTAGTATTTAGCTTGTTATTTCTCACAGTGTGTTTGCTAACATGATTTTACATAACTCAAATTAAGTTTGATAGTTATTCTAACACCTGCATACCTTTGTAGGTTAAAGAAGAGAAATAAATTCAGTGGAGAACAGCAGTCAGATGGAATTTGCTTGTTAGCTTTTCTTTCTTTCTTTTTAACACCCTTTAAATAATGCCATTTTAAATTCTCCAGTTAAAGCATATTTTAAGATTGCTAACCTGGCTTGTGATAGTCATACTTCTGCCTTTGTAAAAATGCTCAGAGTCCCAGAGCCCACACTGTTTTATAATTCTCATCCACAGTTTCCAAAACAGAAGGCTCAAATACATACTTTGTAATAAAGTTCTCCATGCTGGAAACCCAATCCTAGGAAATCTGAGGAAGCTCATTGATGCCCCCAGTTGTAATATTGTTGCCTTAAATGCTTCTTCCAAATCTCCCACAGTTTCCCTTTCCTATTCTTGCTCATCATCATGTCACCTATTATTTGAGTACACACGTACGGGATTGCATTTTGCCAGCTAATGGGAGGATAATAGGAGGTAAAGACCTTTTGATGATCAGTTTTTCTGAGTCAAGATAGGATTACTAATTGAGAAGGCCCTTGATTTTCTTATGGCCAATTATGTGTAGCACTCCTCATTTCTACAAGAAGACAGGGTAACCTCTGAGTGCAAGGTGCTTTATTAAAAGCTGCCTGAAAACACAGATGGATAAGACAGCCCAGATCCTAAATACTTACACTTGACTGGGGACCACAGACAAATGCACAATTGGCAGATTCAAAGAAGAGAACAAAGCAGCGGTGCTATTAGCAGAAGAGAGGGCTTAGCTGTAAATGGAGAGATCAAGGAAGAAACGGTACTGAACTGAGCCATAGAAGTTTATGCCAATTGCAGCAGGCCTGGGAATCCCTCTTCAGCTCCACAAAAGCAAAGGCCAGGCGTCTTTGTGGATTGTTGAGCGTGGAGTGAGGTTGGAGCCGAGGCTCCTGGAGCGGATCATCAAAAGGTGGCTGGAAGGTTGAAGGTGACCACAGAAGCAGGGGCATGGCTCTCAGTTGACAGTGAGTGATACCATAGGCCACACAGAGCCTTTCTCCGAGAGTATCTGGGATGCCATATGCTGGGAAAGAGACTATATTCTCCGTCCAGTTTTGGAAAATAATTAGGCAGATGAAGGCTTTAATGCCAAAGTCTAACTTTATTTCAGATATATTCTATGTGATCTCTCCATTCAGGAAATATTTTTGTGTCTTTTGTGTCTCCTGGACACCTCATGGTCATGGTATAACCTTGAATGGGCTGAGAATTTGACAGTGACATTCACTCTGGTCATTTCTACAAATTAATTACAGGATTTTTGTTATCCAGCACATTTATTCCAGTAGGCAAGTACTTGGTGTTCAGGGTTTAGTTTATAGGAGTGAGCCAAACTCTCCAGGAATGGAAACCAACATGTCCTCAAGTTTGATTTAAGGCACTGTAGCATCTTCAGGATGAGTACTTTGTCTGTCTAGGAAGGAGTCAGTGATCTTTAAAGTTCTAGATGCCCTGCATTTATGCTCAGGGTCTATACTACAACGGCTGCCTAGTTGTGGACAAAAGCCCCAGAATGGTGTAAGAAAGACAGAAAGTGAGGTGGCCGGCTTCAAGTTTCTATCTGGAGATCTATATGTGAATTTTTATTTTGAGCATATGTACACAGATACATACCTATATATACACTTATATACATACAGATAATAGAATTAACCTTCACTTCCTCCTTTCTTCCTATGTAAGAATCACATAAAAGAGGAGGATTTGGAGGGAGCCAAGGACTTGCCGTAAAGGTCTCCTCCCTTGGTCTTTGGTCAGAAAGCACTAGTGTGTGCATTCCAGCTCGCTTGATGGCAGAGCTCTCCATGCAGGAGCGTGTCACAGTGATTCTGACTGATATGTTTATTTTCTCATTTGATAAGGTCATATGAGTCTTTGTTGAGACATGGCTTTTAGTTCCATACATCATAGCTGGTGCTCATCTGTAATTTAAAAGTAATGAATTGCAAGTGCTTGTGGATTTGCACAAACATTAAGTAAAGACTTAATTTTTATTGCGCTGTGTTTATTAGGGAAGACTGTGGCCTTTGAATCTAATCAGATAATAAATTATTTTTGTCTCAACATCAGTCCTTTGAACCTGATCAGGTGATAAATCATGCTTACTCTTGACATCAGTGTTTGCAAGGCTACCATTTGCTTTAGATATTTGTAAGACAGCTAAATAAACCATTAGTTTAAGAAAGTTAGCTCCTTATGTGAAATTCATTGATAAATGATGTCTGAAACACATGCTCGTGTGCTGTCATGTGGCTGTTTAGTCCTTGTGACTTATAGCAGCCCCTGTTACAAAATTTCTCAGGGTGGCAGAAATTGTGGTATGGTGAGTTCAATTTATGCTGTCATGCTGCCACTGATCTCTATCATTACCTTGGTCCTACAGTCTGTTTGAGCCACTGTTAATTACCTCTGGAATATAACACAATCAAATGACATCTGTATGAGTAAACCATATTATAATAGGAAGCAAGCTGGTGAAGACACAGAGAAGTCCAGTAGAATGCTCATAGAGCTTTGGAATGAGTCTTTATCTCCTTCTTCCAATAACAAATTCAATTTAATAATCATTTAATGACTGTCTATGATATGGGGTTTGGGGTAGATACTCATAGAAGGACTAGCACTTTACTCTGGGCAATGTATGCATGGTAATGTAAAGGAGTGTTGTGTGTGTGTTTGTGTGTGTGTGTTCATGATGATAGTTACCTTCATTTTGCTTCTAGATTTAGGGCTCCCTTAAGCATCTTCTGCAAGTTTTGCGAACTAAAGATGAATTTCCTGTATTTACCTGTTTGGAAGCTCTTTATTTCACCTTCATTTCTGAAGCACAGTTTTGCTGGGCATAGTGCTTTGGTTGACAAGTTTTTTTATTCTTTCAGAACTTTGACTATGTCAGTTCCTCCCTGACCTATAAGGTGTCTGCTGAGAAATGTGCAGTGAGTGTAAAGGGGGTTCCCTTCAATGTGACTTGGCACTTTAATCTCACTGTTTTGAGAAGCCTGCATTTTGACTTGGCTTTTTGATACATTGCTGTAATATGGCACTTTGTGATCTTCTGAGCCTCCTGAACCTGGATATCTAAATCTTGAACAAAATTTGGGAAGTCTTTCAGTTGTTCTCTCAAATAGATTTTTCTGTGTATTTTCCCTTCTTTTCTAGAATGCCCATTCTTTGAATATTTCTTTAATAGTGTTTAATAGTATCCCATAAGTTTCGAGGCTTTGTTTCTTTTTTCTTCTTCTCTTTTTTGTCTCACTAGATTATTTCAAAACACTTTCCTTCAGGTTCAGAAGTTCCTTCTTCTGCTTCTCTATGTGTTGCTAAGACTCTCCATTATATTACATAATTCTTCAGATTCAATATTTCTTTTTTATTCTTTTTCATGCTTTATGTCACTTTACTGACTTTCTCATTCATATTATGAATTATTTACCTGATTTCATTGAATTGTCTCCATGTGTCTCCCATTTCTTTGAGTTTCCTTCAAACCATTTTTTTCAAGAGTTCATAAATTTCCTTCTCTTTGGGGTCTGTTTCTAGTGTTACTTTGGAGACGTTATTTTACTTTGTTTTTTTCATACTTCTTGTGTCCCTGTGTCAATATTTGTGCATCTGTGGATCCATTCTCCCTACCAGTTTTATAGGGTTTCTGTATAAGACTTTCTCCCAAAGATGTGGCTTCAGGTGTCAGACTGGCATACTCCATTGGCTTTGCTTCCAATTGGGCACCATAGTGTAGTCTCTGCATAGCTTCTTCATAAATAATGACTCTGTATAGTGCATGTATAGGAGCATAGAGTGTTTCCATCTCCATGGGTATGTAGCAGTAGGGAAATTCAAGTGGCCCAGGCAACTGTGACACATACAGCAGTGTGTGTGTGTGTGTGTGTGTGTGTGTGTGTGTGTGTGTGTTGTTTTCCTCTGTGGAAAAGCATGAGCATGTTGTATAGCTGGCATATGTCTTTAGCATCTTCTCACTCCTCCTGATTGTGAAATGTCAGACATTGGCTGGAAAGTAAGATAGCTTTTACTTTTAGTACCAAGCTCTTTACTAGTGCTCACATTAGTATAAGAAGGACCTGGCCTCACAGGGAGAGGTTGCTCTCACAGGAAGGGGCAGTAAACTTGGGAAACAAATCCTGAAGCAGCATACCTGGTCTACTTCTTGGTACCTACCAAGGTAGGCTAGGCCTGTGAATTTCAGAGTAGCCAAAATGTGCTTGGCAAAAAGATTTCATTATTAAAAATATTAGTCATCAAGCCAAGTTTAGCATCTCTGCTAACACTCCCAAAATAGAGGCTCCATCACATATGTGGTCCCAGGATGAAGGCTGTGTGATGAATGCATTCCCCACGTGCATACAGCCTCTTCTCTAATCTGGCTTTATCTTCTGACAGGACATCGATGGCCAGGCACTCCTACTGCTGACTCTTCCAACCGTGCAGGAGTGCATGGAGTTGAAGCTGGGACCTGCCATCAAGTTATGTCATCAGATTGAAAGAGTTAAAGTGGCTTTCTACGCCCAGTATGCCAACTGACCCCCCTCCAGAGGTGGCCCATTATCTTTGCAATGCATTGTTTGTGAAGGTTTTCAGGACTGATACTTTGATTTTTCTGGGGTACGTGAAATGGTATTCACTATATATCAGCCAGAAGCCCAAGACCTCCTTCCTCCACCAGCCTGTTTGATATTTTCATCTTTTTAAAGCACACAGAAGTACCACAGCAGTGACTTCTGGGGAGTATAGTTACAGTCCTGCATCAGACTCTGCAGGCAATATGAAAGAGCTTCTTTTTGTGCCCACATTTCACCTTTCTCCTGCCCCAAACCAGGCAGCTTCCTTTAAGCAAGGTTTCCTAAACTGAGGCCCACATTCTTTTAGAACTAAGTTGGGCACAGTTGACATCTTCTGAAATATAACCAAGAAGCATATGTAATCCTTTGCTGGTAGTTTTTGTTATGATCCTTCTCAGGCATATTTATAGATGTACCTTTCCCATCAATACATGTGCGACCATGGCTCAGTGGCACCTGCTATCCCCATATGTTGATCTTGGTGGCAACTCCTTTCTCTGATGCAGTTGTGACTGATATTTGAGGATGCTATTATAAAACACTGCGCTGAACCTCCATCCTCAGAGGTGCCTTTCAGTATGTATGGGGACCAAGGGGAAGCTGGTTGTCGGGAAGTAACGAGACAGCTTTTCCTGAGTGACTGAACCTGGAATATCTATGGAGATTATTCTATCCACAATCTGCTAAAGAATCATAATATTCTAATTTAATTGTAACCAGATCAAGGAGTGACTACTACAGGCAAATGTCAATTTGGAAGAAGCAGTTCATCAATTAGTGACATCCCCTTAGAAGGATCACTGCAGCATATAACTGCAAATGAGTCCCGCTGCACATCCCTTCTGTCCATTTCTGCCCTGCCTAGATGCTTTTTCAACAGGCATGAGGAAGCAAGACCCTGGCCAGACACAGCAGATTGTGCCCTGGAGTTGCAGGCAGTGGTTCTCATCCTGGCTTTGCTAATGACCAATTGTGGGATATTGGGCAACTTTCCATTACTCTGCACCTCAGTCCCCATAAAAGGATGGACGTGGACTCTTAGGAGGGCATGGGGCTAGCATCTGTCTCCTTTTGTCTCCTCCACACTCCTACTGGAAGGAAAGTTCAGGTTGACCAAAAGGAGAAAAGAAAGAAGAAGCATCCAACTCCAGTCCGCCATTCTGAAGCTCATGCTAGCTTTGAGGTTGCTTATGGAATTCCTTGGACAGTTGTGTTAAATTAGCTAAGATACTTGCAGACAAATCTGTTGTTCTGAGAAGTGCTTGGCCTTTTATACCCAGCACTTCATCTGTGTGTTTTATGAGGGGCTCAGTCTGCTTATGCAAACCCAAAAGAACTGCTCTGCTCCAATGTGGTTGCCTCATTGCCTTTTTAAATTGACACAAGGAAACCAAGCTTTATGTTGTTCATAAGTGGACCCTCACAGATGCTTTATGCCTTCTGACTTTTTTGTTGTTCTTTGTTTTGTTGTTTTTGCTTTGTTTTTACCTTAATTATGTTGATCTTTTTCTTTGATTAGAGTCTCTCAATCTTTCCAGTAATCCGATATGGTGGGGTTCTTAAGTGTTCCATGTATTATTCATGTCAGTGTTAACATTCTGTAACAGCTGCAGTTGAGCATGAAAAACAGATATTTTGTGCTTGAGACTTTGTAGTCTTTCCTGCAGCTGATTTCTACAGTCCAGCTTTTAATGCCTGCGAATGAATCTGTCTGGGCACCTCTGATGTGGGAGGCTTTTGTCCTGCGTGACGTTGGCAAGACAAAAATGTCCTGGTGATTTGTAGTTGGCTTGCAGTTGCATAACTCTCTTCCAACCTAAAGTGTGACCTCTTCTCACTTCCTCTAGCCACGTGCTTTTGGCCTTAAATGCTCAGTAAATGGAGTTAAACTGACCAGCATTGGAAAGGGTATCCATTTCAAGATCAGTGACATTTTGTCTGTGCTGACTCCTTTATGATCCTTCACTGTGGCCTTTTCAATCTGAGCTGTTTCTGTTGTGTTGGAAGTGAAGATGAGATATCACAGCTACAACGTAATATTGTACTTTAAGGATGAATGCACCTTTTTGTGCCCTTTCCAGTAATGTTATGGAGAGGAAGTGCTACATCAGAAGTCCAGGAGATTCCTTAGTCTGTGCCGAGAGCTAGAGCATCACACATCAGGAAGCCCAAGCAGGTTATGCAACCATTGCTGGGAGAAGCTTTTTGCTTCCCATGAAGCTAAATGTCCAACATTCTCCTTATCCTTCGGCCTTGCAGTTTAACTTCAGTTTGTCTCTACATAGTATCAGCCACTTTGTGGACTTCAGCTTTGTGTGCATGTGACAAGGAGAAAATGACTGTACTCAGAGCAGAAGAGCGTCCGGCTCTGGGGCCATCATCCTGAATGTTGTCTATGTGCCATCTTCCCAACCCTCCAGGAGAGCTGAGAAACTTTGCAGAAACAAAGAGAGCTGTCAGTGTCTCCCTGAATTTGGATTATTTGGGGATTCCACCATAGTGGATATATTTCTTCACATCAGCAGCAATTCTGTGACAGAATTGTAAAGTAGCTTTCACTTTTCTCTGGATTCACCTCTCACCAGCTTTTGTCTTAAAGACAGAGCCAGTGTCCAAGGAGGATTGTGCTCTGTTGTGTCCCTGTTGCAGAAAAAATGGATTTTACACATATACCCCATGTTGCCACAACCCATGAGCCAAACATTTCTTGGTCTAAATACCAACGAATGATGCCTCATCCATGGATGGTACCCTTTCTCTATGTGTCTTTGATCTTCCTTTGAGTCCAAAGTCCTCTCCTTTATACAACTGGACAGTGTACATCTTGACACTCATTACCTCCTGGACCTGGCCAAGCAGGCTCCTTGCAGTCAGCACTGTGTGTATAACCCAAGAAACAGAAATGTCATTTTCAACATGATGAGAGTCCGTCGCCCAAACTTGCCCCAAAACTAATGGGGCTGGTTTCGGTCCCTAACTTCTGGCTGTATTTGTACTGTGTTGTAAAACATCCTGTCCACAAAAGAACAGCCTGAAAAGAACAGGGTACTACAGGCATTACAGAACTTCTTTGCTTTTCACAGCAATTCCTTCTCCATGGAGCTCCACAGAGAACTCGTTTGTCAGTTTAAAAATTAAATTCCTTTGATCAGAGTTTGAGTCACACATAGTATTTGATCTGTACAGCTACTTAGATTCCTCTACCTTATTTGATCATATTCAAAAGATCATTTCCTGTGTGTTCAACTTTGATTTGTTCCTCAATAAATTAAAATGATCCAAACCTTAACACTGCCACTTCTGACCTTTACTACAATCTCTAGAAGGTTGATTTTGATCAGCCTTTTGAAGATTGGTTTGTTTCCTAATTTATCATAGAATTTTGAGTGTTGTATGAGGCAAGTGCTGAATTTGCCTTCTGTCTTATACCAAACATCCCTTTATAACAGCTGTCCCTCAGTGGGAAGCACTAGGGGTTTTCAGACTAGTTTTGTAGAACACCCATGTATATTTATTTCTGTACATAGGACTAAAACAAAACAAAGGAGTGTTGAGGTCTTTGTTGTGGTTTGACATCATTGCTGCTTTGGGTTAAGATAGTGATTCTAGGCTCCAGTTACTCTATATCCTGTCTTTAGAAAGCTGTGATTGAGTGTGCAATTATTTGAAAGAAAAAATAGTAAATTAAGATACCTGTAGTTTTTAAAGAAGAAACTTTTGGAAAGGTGTACATTCTGTCTGTGTCTATTTCGTGCAATAATTAAATAATAAGGGAAAGCTATATTCATATTGACAACTATTAACAACTTAATAATTCTTTTAACTTCTTTTCTGTTCAAAAGTTTCGTGGAAATTACTCCCTTTAACTTGGTTCAGTTTTTAAGTTGATTAATTCTCATAGCTCTTACCAGTAGAATGATTTACAGATATCTAAAACATGATATGATGAAATCAAATTTTGACCCATTTACCTAAAAATTGTAATTGCAGACATATGGTGCTGCCTTGAGTTTTGGATAAAAGCCTCTCTATTTTAAGTGATAAATAACAACTCAAGCAGTTCCTGGAGCTGGAGTCTTACTGGACTTGTCCTCCGTGGCCACCACCCAGCGCCAGTGAGATGTAGACCCTGTCACATAACCAAGGCACAGCAGTGCTTCATGTGAGCTGAAGAGGTGCACTGAAGAAAAAGGAACATTCTAGGACAATCGTTTGCTGAAAAACCACCTTAAGATGGGAAATTTGAGGCAAATTTTTCTGAGTTACAGAGAAAGTAATCATTTCACTTCTTGTTCAGAATGGAAGCTAGCATGATCTCTAGAAGTATAGACTATCCCTAGTCAAGAATGTCGGAAGCCCTTTAACCGTGTTGCATTCCAATTTGAATAGTTTGTATTGATATTTGATTCATATCTTGTGTGTGTTTTGGTGCATAAAAGGGAACAATTGGTGTCTTGAAATTTGCGGGACAGGGCATGCAGTTAGTTTGCTGTAAGATGGTATTCTGTACATATGTTTTCATGTAAATAAATGAAAATCTATATCAGAGTTATATTTTAATTTTTATTCTAAATAAAAAACCCTTTTTACTTGAAAAGAAACTTGTAAGCCACATTGTTAAATAAAGCAAAAATAAATTCTATAGTAGTGTTTGTGTCTTTGTGTTAAAAGGTATTAAACAGGTTTTTAGGGTTTGTATTAGGGTTATATTATTCTGAAGTTTTGTTTTGTTTTTGCTGTGCACTAACACATGTTTTTAGATTGTTAACACCCGTGGCTCTCAAGTTCCTGTGTGACCTGTTAGAGTCACCTCCCAGTTCTGGAATTTTCTGCTCAAGGGACTTGTATTCATTCTAATTTTACTGTTAAAACATTACTGTAATATACTCATGTGACAATCTTTGGCCTTCCCAATTTCAGTCATTCTAGTTTTTATACAATTACTTGATACTTCAGAAGAAAGATTTCTTTATTTCTATGGGAGCCATAATTAAGTAACAATTACACTGATCTTTTTTCCTTTATGTGTCTTGGGTGTCCAAGTTGGAAGAAGAGGAGATTCCTGTGCTGTTCTGCCCCTCACCAGGATCTCATGGGCAGAACAGGCTGTTTTCCTCTCTGCCACCATCCATAGGTTGTACTACCTAGGGACACGGAAAAGGTTAAATAAGGACTCAAAAGGCACTAAGGAAATAGAGACGGAGGAATGCTGAGCAATTTTTCCCTTCCTCAATCTCAGGCAATCTCAAGTATCTTATTTCACTTTGAATACCTTCTTTTGCCCTGCTGACGTTCTAGTTCTCCATATAGAAGTTTTTCTTCTGTGTTCATACAGAAGGTTTTTTAATAGCAAAAACAAAGCCTGCAAAAGCAAAATGGGATACATTGTTCATTTTCTCAAGTACACCAAAAACCAATAGATAAAATATTGTATGCCTGAATAAATATGATCATTATATATTCCTATTTATACTTGAAGACCTTTGAGAACAGAAATCTAACGACTGTATAATAAAATAAAATGAAATCTGATGACTGCTGGATCTTCAAATTGAGTTAGTCAAGGCCAAAACAATTTATATTTGTGACTTTATTGCCACAAAAAAACCTTTTTTTTTGAAAAAATTCTTCTGCTCTCTAGCCATGCTTGTACAACTTGCAGTTCCCCAGGAGTTACTTCCCCTTTGTCTGGGGTTTGTGCTGTGACTATTTTAAGTTTGTGAAAGAACATAATGCTTAGTTGAGGTTTGAAGACTACATTTAAAAAATACTGTTTACATGGACATGACCTTGGCAGTTTCATGTGAAAACCGAACATTTTACCAGTGTGATAAAAATATTACATCAAAATAATAGATGAGCTCCAAAGGTTTACTAGGGAGTAATTTCAATTAAAGGTTTTTATGATATCAGCCCAGGTCTGGGTTGCAACACATCCCATGTCTTGTAGCTCATTTTTAAGTATATTACCGAGTGTTCTTCTGTAGCTGATGGATCTAACCAGTGTTTCATACAGTACATAAAATCTCCTGCTTTGTAATTCAGAGACATCAACATAGGACCACTGCCACCATGCTTTCCAATCTGGTCCCAAGTACAAATACTGCACTGTTTTCAAATACTTGGTCTGCTTGCTGAATATGTAACACAGAGCCTTGTTTTTGTTTTGTTTCTCTATAAAAGTGGTAAATACTGTAATTCTAAGCAGAGTGTAAGTCCATGGTAGTGAATCATTCCCTGCTTCACTAGGCACTGCCAACCCCTGGGGTCTCAATCACTGACCCAGTGGAATATCCTGGCTACCATTCCCACTACTCTCAATGGGAATGGGCCACCCAGACCCAACCCAATCAAATACTTAAAAGATTAGGTGCAAGCCACCTTTTCTGGATTCAAATAAAATACATGGCATGGAGTACAGGATCTGGCTTTTCCAACAGTTGACCAGAAGGGCCAGGTGATATAACTCCCAAGTTACAGCTAGATAATCTCCAGAGCACCAACTTGGATCAGTGAGGGAGATGGGAATGAACAGCTGAGCTCCTCTCCCTTCTCCCTTACTGAACTATTCTGAAGAATGATGCCTGTGCATGGCCTGCCCAGAGATGTATCACTTTATAGAAACTACTTCCTTGTTTCCTTAAATGGAAGTCAGCTCTACAATAAATCATCTTGTATTTGCTTTCCCTTCCTCCCTGCCTCAAGTTCTACTGTCCCTGCTGTCCTAGTATTTTATATCACAATAAAATATCACCATACAAGCTATCCCCCAGACTGTTACCTTTTGAACTACTGATAAAATAGTTGTTACCAAAGATTTTCTAGAAAACAGCCCATCAGGATGGGAGCTTGGAATCATACTGCCCAGTGTATGAATGCAATAGGGACACTTTTGCTCTTAGTAAGTAGTAGGTAACGCATCCAGACACTTAATGGCCTCACGATCACTGATGCTTTTGTTTATGGTTAACTGGAGTGAGTAGCAGGCATAAGTCATGGCAGTGGGAGATAATATGACTACTGCTTAAGGTAGGGGCAACGTGATCCTGATAAAGATGATGTATAGATAATTGCTTTTGACATCCTCAAAAAGGAAAATGGTACACTCAAAGAAGCAATTCATAAGCTCAAGGGCCTCTAAGAAAATGTTCAAAGATACTTTCATCTTATGCAACCACCAGAAGACCCAGGAAAATCAGGCCCAGGATCTGACAGCTGAAAAAAAATAATAAGTGTGCATGCTTGACAGGTATCCTTGACAGCCAATGCTCTGATAAGGAAAGAATATGTGAAACCTCAGATGTATCATTGAATATATAAGTCAGGAATCTTGAACTTGAATTTCCTTAAACCTCCTAGTTGAAAGAAACACTTTTCTCCAGGCAGAAACACTCCTCTTTCCAGAACACCATAGACTAGTTTTACCTTGCCTGACATTATTCTCAAGGTGTGTCTCCCTTTGACCCATTGTCCCTTCCTCAACAACCAGATATAGGTCTCACCCTAGCCTGAGTAATGAAATGCAAACTCTGATCTAAGAAGAGCAGCCCACACACAACAGAGCAATTTTAGGATGTGGTTAGTGTATACTGGTAAACACGAAGGGAGTGGATGAGGGTGTTATACCAAGCAGGACAGGATATGAAACTGTGTATAGGAATAATCATGACATTGAGCACTCACCTATGACCTGGATGGAATCTAGTATTCTTGTCAACTTGGAGCCAGTCTAATGATTACCAGTAGATGAGATTGGAAATGCCAGAATATTCTTATAGTATTGAGGAAAAAATCAAAGTCTGGAAATATAATGGATATACCATGTAAATTAGAAGTAGGCCTACCCCCCAGCTCTTTTTAAGATAATCAGGGGGACATAGTGCCATAGGAACATTTATCACTTTAATATTTGGCTGGCCCACAGAATTGATGGCATCACACCAACTGGATTGTGTGAGTAGAACTCTTATCAAAACATATGCGTGCCAAAGGGTGGAAGGTAAACCCCAATAATATGTAGGAAACTAGCTCATCATCCCCCAAGTCCCCAAATTATGTTTTCTACTTCTTACTTGTAAGAAAGACAGTGTTTGGTGGGACAGTTTTGAGACAGCATATACCTCACTTAGGCATAGTGATTTGATCCATTTATGTGATAGTTCGGAAAGCTGTGAGTCAGTTAGTACCCAGATGAAACATAGATTCTCTAGTCCAAGCTACACTGCCAAACCTTTAACTAAACACGTCCAAAGGAGCTGAATTTATCCACAATGGGGAAAGATACTGCATGGCATCTATGATAAACCTGGATACAGAGGCCAGAAGGCAGATATTAGAACTCTGGAATAAGACCAAGTCTCCTACAAGGAGGAACAAAGCAAACATAAACAAACAAAAACACCAAAACCAATCTTTTCTATTTTAAATAACTGGCCTGCCATGGGGCACTCAGAGATACTGAGTGCATTTCCTTGGGACACTAGGTGACTTTTGAACCTGAAATATTAACCATGATCTGTGTGCTCTAAGATTTACCATGCCCAAGAGAAAAGGGCAAAAAATGAGATAATACATTGTGTAGTAGAAGTTATACTTTAGGCACCAGACATGAATAAAGCCATTAGCTGTGAACCTATACTATTTCCAAGATACCAATACCTATCCCTCTACACACACTGTGGCTTCATGAGAGCATCTCTTCAATCAGCTGATGGAGAAACAAAGGACTCAACTGTGGTTCACAGATGGCTGCATGTAATATATTGGCTGTAGCCAGAAATGGACCTACAGCCTCACTCAAGAGTGACTCTGAAGGATGATGATGGCAAGAGCAGCATCTTGTGAAGGCATTCACTACACAGAGAAATAGTGATGGCCTGGACTATGGATATACACTGACTTCTATGCTCTAACGGATGGCTTGGTGGTTGACACTTTGAAGAAATGAACTGCACTTCTCATCTTGGGGAACAATAAGTGTGTCTTCTCAGAGGATGAGAGGTTGAAAAATCACGAAAAGGTTTCAGTACCTCAGACTGTGCAGAAATTGGTAGTATTGGGACAATTCATGGACTTTCCTCATCTCTTAATACTGCTAGCTACCTTGACCTCCCTCAAGGTCATTGCTGGCTCTTACTTGGCCTTTCTTTTTTTTTCTGAAATTTAACATTATTGGTACATTTTAGGTATACAATACAATTACATTTCTCATTGAGAACTTGTACCTTTACATGATATATCCTGGTTCTTATTTTTTCCCCATTCCCTTCCCCTCCTTTCACCCCTCCACCCTTCCCTATTTATAAAGACTTTGTTTCCATTTTTTCCATTTGTCATAATTTTTCTTTTCCCTTCTTTCCTTTATCCTACCCCTCCCACTTCTCCTACCCTTTTGGACCTTTTCTTCTTATTTTGAATTATCAGTTATACATTTTAATCATTGGTACATTTTAGGTATACAATATAATGACATTCATCATTGGAAATTTGCGCCTTTACATGATCTCTCTTGGTTCTTATTTTTCCCCCTTCCCCTGCCCTCCCTTCAACCCCTCCATCCCTCCCTATTT